TTTAAAAATAAAACTCCCCATGAAAAAATATTATAATAATAATAGAACTTCAAGCTTCCAATTGAAATTAATTTACCAAATAATTTAGTATTTACGGTTACTAGTTCAAATATTTGTTAACTTATAAGTAGCGGAACACTTCATATTTGTCACGTTAAACAAAATTAAATACTTGATACCAAATCTTTCAGAACTCCCAAATATTGTTTTGACTAAAATGTGTATTAACTGATTTTATTTTACTGTTATGAACCTAACTTTTAATATAAATATATGGCCCGCTTGATTTTAACTTACAAACACTTGAAATTCCAGGAGATTTGTAAGGTCGATGCAAGCGACGCGGTTGTCGAATACGGCCGTAATCTGCATGTCAAACAGTTCGTCGGAGTACAACCAATTATACAACTACTCCAAATGAGGACGGGCTTGTGCCTTATGGTTTTTTTATTAGATAGACATAGGTTCGCAAGAGAGGTTCATGCAGATAAGAGATGAAAAAATTGAATATGCCGTGATTTTCACACAGTTACTAGATGTTTGTGTTTGAAAATCAGTTAGTACATGTTCTTGAAGTCATATCATAACTTCTTTAACACAGTATATAATCTAAATATTCTGATTTTGTCTGTAAAAATGAAACCACAATATTTTTTGTGAATTGTTTTGCTCCTCACTGATAACTAAAATTCGTGGTTTTTCGGGTTTAACCCTCTATTGGACTCATTCTGTGAATATTCACAGCTACGCTTAAGCCATTTTCAAGGATATCCATTGTTTGTTTGTAATCATTATCGACAGTAGCGTAATCATGACTATCACTCGTTAAAGAATGTAAACCAATAGGAAGGGCATCCCAACGGTTTTCATCTATATATGAGCCTCAGTCGTTTAAACATTAACAAATTAGTTTTTAGAAATGTTAACGTGGCTGTTGGTTCCTAGTTTTTTATTTTAATCATAAAATATTTTACTTAAAATATTTGTCTTGTGTAAACATGCATTGCATCAAGTTACATAGTGTGTCGTGTCCCTTAGAAGCACCTAGGGTTGCCACACGGGTAACACTTTAGTTTTTGACAAAAGTAATTTAATTTTTCTGACATTAAATTTAAAATGAATGTTCCACTATTCTCTTTATTTCCTGTTCTAACACGAAGGTTTAGAAATGCATTTCACATCAAATGTTATCATAAGTTAGCAATTGTTAAACACTGGTTCGCCGAACCTTTAAGTATGATTTCTTTATTTTTCAATCATTGGTCTACTGTACTACAGACTAACATCTTTTTATTTAATACCGCGATTATTGTTTAGTTTTTTTTCCAAAGATGTATGCTCTGGATTTATTTTTTTAGAAAAACTTCGGGAGGAATGCTGCCAATATTATTGTATATATAGTTTTTAATGGAAATAAAAGCATTCTTTCTGTGAATTGTGGTTTTATTCATTTTCTAATTGGTTAAACCTCCATGGATGTCAGTAATCTACGAAATCACGATACCGTCTGGTTAACATAGTATATTACTGCCTGGTTTAGGATCACACGGCCGTAGAGATGCATGTGGCAAGCATTAAAAAAAAATAATTGAAAATACATTTATTCAGTTTGACAAAAACCAAGAACCGAATGACGGGCTAATTAATCAACAACTTTGTTTTCAGAAAATAAACTTAAAAAAATAATTTTGTTTAGAAATTTAATAACACATACAAATGTCCACACACAAAAAGTAAAATATTCTCGATTTTTTTGGTAAGAACCTAATAATTTAGAATATCAAAAAACTTCTATTCACTTTTTGCCTCGCACTGCCAACCTGTTGAACAAGTTATCGTCTGCTTTATTTTCGGACCAATACGACCTACAAACCTTAAAGAAAAAAGCGTAGGTACTCCTACCTCAGAGGCTGGCAACGCTCTTGTAACTCCTGAGTTGCAGGCGTTCATGGGCAGCGGTAGTCGCTTTCCATCAGGTGACCCGTCTGCTCGTTTACCCCTCTTCCACAAAAAAAAATCACAATGACTTCTACATTCTGAACACAGACGTTTTTTTGATATTTTATTTGTAAAAGCTCTAAGACAAAACTGAGCTAAAAACTCAATGTCACATAAACGCCATCCAATACACCCCAATATAAAGCCTATGCTGACACCCTATATTAGCTGGAGTGGTCAACCAACAAGAACATAAGTAATATTGTTACCATTACCTTTTAACAAAAAAAAATTGCATAAACAATTTCAAACAAGATGCAGGACCAATACTACCAACAGTCATAATATATCCTCTTGTAAGCAGACTTTGTGAATGCAGTAAGACTTCGTGAATATCGTAAGTAATAAAGTTAGCTAAATAGTATCAATATGCACTCTTAAATGCAGTGAATGAAAACATAATATGTTTTATTACTTAAATCATCAGTCATGAGGTGAGAGGTGAGAGGGACACCAAGAGCCTTGTATTTATACAACACAAGGTAGTTAACGACATCGCTTGTCGTGCACGTTTAATGTTTTAACATATGAATAGGTAACTAATAAAAAAAATACGTGTTATTGCTGGGACGAAGAAAATTAAAATAGTTATTGCGGGTAGTTACAAAGTTAAATGGTGAATATAAAAAGCAAACTGGCATTGTTTAGTGAAATTAATAGTTTATTTTCAATAAAATTATGTTGTATGTATATAAAAGTTGCTGTTTATAAATTTAGCACATAACAGGCTTTCGATCACTAGGAGGCAGGTTCTGGTTCTGAAGCCAATTCCTGAGTCTGTTTTTAATCATGGCGTTTTATCAAAACGTAAATACTTAAAATTCATTTGACTCCAGCAATAGGCTTGCCCGCTATTACGCAAGTGGCACTAATTATAGTCAACAAAATGTTGACAATTAATACGCTTTTGGGGTAAGCACAGGAGTAGTTATTCGGGAATAAAAGACGTGAGTGTTTGTATGTATCAATTTACTCTATTATACGCTGAGATATAAAAAATCATTGAAGTATAAAACCAATGAAAAAATTATACTTTTCAAGTATCGTATGTGAAAATTCATGTTAATAAATAAAATACTGCAAATAGAATCGTACCACAGTAAGTGTAGGTATATTATATTCACTGCATATCTATTTATATTCGTACTATGAAAAATCATTAATTAGGTACTTACCACATCACCCCTCTTTTTTTTTTGCGTGCGGAAATCCCCTCGGATACCACCTATCGGTGGTATGTCGGACTCGAACCGACTAAAACCGCACGCCGTCTCGGGTACTAATAGCCGGGGAACCAGGTATACCCTAGAAAGGAAGTCCCTGGTGCAACCACATCATCCCCAGGTAGTTTCAATGAGTTTAAATGTTTTTAGTTCGTTAGTCGGTGCTCATTGAGTTCGAGAGGACCTTGGTGGATATTGTGCAAGGTCCGACTACGCTGCAGACCTGATACATAATATATGCTCGTAGGTATAGTTATTGATGACATAGCTTTATAATATTTGGTTAAACAACAGATTTCTTTTTAGGAAATAGTAGGTATACCTACCTACTAAGTCATCTATTAACTTCAGTAAAGAAAGTAAAAGAAAATATACCTACATACAATATGCAACAAATTTCATGATTAAAACTATAATTAATTATTATAAATTAAACCTGTTTTAGAAATTTAATTACAAATATAAGATGTTGTAGTCGTCATTCAGTAAAAACCTTAACTCCGCAAACACACCGACATGTAAGCAACAGGCTAGCCACATTTTAACGAACTACCAACTCACTACCAAAACAATATTGCAAAAAAGTTAAGGTACCTATCACAATTTACCCACAATTCAAGCATAATTAATAAGTTGTTTCTTTCACTACTTACGCTCGTCACTGGTGATTATAGTGTAGGTAAAAAACATGAACATGAAAATTGAACATACTGGATTACGAAAGCGGATAAATAAAAACTTTGGTTACCATAGAACAGGCTCTGCCTATTTGGGATCAGACGGCCGTGTGAGAACTGTGAGATGTCTGAGGTCATAATTATTCTCTATTCTTTCTATTAAATTGATTTATCATTTACATTTTTAAACATTTATTACATCTAATAAAAAATAAAAAAAGTACAATAGTATCATTTTTATTACTTTATATTCTGTGTTCTGAGTATAAAATCATTTATATAAATGTGCCGTCATAATATTTATTTAACAACCGTTGCATTATATAAAATTTTAAGTATAAAATTAAATTTATTGTAAATCACCTCCGTTCATTATTTTTATCACAAAAATTAGAAAACCCGATTGAATGTTTCAAAACGAGTCACAATTGTAAATATTGTCTATGATTAACTCTTTGAAAAAAAATTCACTCTCTCTAAAATCAATCAAAAATTATCTTCATTACATATTTAAAAGATCTTATTATTATTATTTTATAGTTAAAGATAAACAGACACAAAATATAATAATTAAAAAAATCCAATTGTTGGTTCATTACGTGAAACGAAACGCATATCAAAAAGTTTATAGTCTATGGATGACAACTAACTTCCAGAGTCATTTTTATACTTCTACATTTAAAAACTATGTTTTGATAAATATTTTTGCAATTTATTATTAAAAAAATTATTAGCATTTAATAAAACTAATTAACTTTACAAATAATAGCTTGCTATAAAACGAAATAAAGAGTATAGAAAATTATGGAATTGGTCCCTCGTGTTTCCTTCCCGCGCACGTCGTACTAGGTGGAAGTTGGTCATGGTCGTCCGCCAAACGGAAAGCCGCCATGATGGCTTTCTGTAAAGTACGCTCAATATGTAAAGTTTCGTTATTGTTTTTCATTAATTGTGACTGAGTGCGTGCAAAAATTAATCATGGGAACGAACTAGAGTGTGCAAAGTTCAGTTTACGGTCCCTTGGGACCCCCTAGTGGAGCTATAAAGTGTTTAATAAGTGCATTTTTGTGTCGACGCTAGCGTGTTTTGTTCTGTCAACAAAATGTCGAAGCTCTCGTTTAGGGCGAGGGCCCTGGATGCGTCGAAACCAATGCCTATATATCTCGCCGAGGAGCTTCCGGATTTACCGGACTACTCGGCGATTAATCGTGCTGTACCTCAGATGCCCTCTGGAATGGAAAAAGAGGAAGAAAGCGTAAGTATTTTGCGCATTTAGATGTTAAGTCATCAGAAACTACTGTGTGTCGGCCATTACGTTATGTTTCTTATTGTCACCGCTAGGGGCGTTAATATATCCAGAGAAAATATGTTTTTTCGAAAAATATTTATTGTTTGCCTTATAATGAATCCGAAATATGTCACAATTTTTAATTTATTTACTGAGAAATAATCGGCGAAATATTATTTGACTGAAACTTGTTAGCGAAAGTTATTGTCAAATTTTGGCGCGACAATTGAGCACATGGTGATTGTAACATACCGCGACTTCATAACACTTAATGATTATTTACTCGGCTGTTTAGAAATGGATTTAGCTGGATTTTTTGGAGAATCCTTCTCGATTTATGTTGATTTTAGTGTGTTGAAGTAAAACGGTGTCGGACGCCGGGTCATATGTTATTTGTTTACAAACAATGGGTGCCGGCAAGCGACGCATCAGTTAGCATTACGGCTATTTTATTTGATTACATAATTAATTCGATATTTTATTAAGAACAGCTCATGTTTAATGTGAACAATATTCTATTAATCACACATATATATTTTTTGGTCAATTGACTTACAATTCGGTCTATTTTTTTTCGTTTATTTTTTATTTAATGGTATTTTATAAACTATTAGGTTCTTAATAACATTATTATCAAGTTAACTGATTCCACTTTAGCAATGATTCTTAAAGAGTAGTGAAATTTGTTTAATATACAATATTTCAAAGAGTTATATAAAAGCACAAACAACTTATTTGTATTTTTACATTTCACTTTATTCGTTATGAATTAAATGGCAATAAAATCCTACTTTTGTATTGGTTCTACATTTATGCGACTGATATTGTGGTATCTTATAATCATCCTAGACATTGGATTGATATTCAATAATTCATCTCTTCAGAATTCATATGTCTATCAGTATTATAGCATTAGCTACTACGATGAACAATTCTTTTAAAGCATATTTTGAGTAAACACACAGACCTAGTTCTAAGTATAAAGTTGAAAATTATGTAAAAATGGACACAAAAGTTTAGTTGTACATGTTTTGAGTTGTAGGAAAAAAAAAATGACACTTCGACACTTTTAATTCTCGGAAAAATTATTTCACAAAAGTAATTTAATTGTTGTTAAGAAATATTAACATCAATTAAAATAATTTAGTAATAATGATCCCTGCATCCAAAGTGGTAAGTCACACAAGTCAGAAGAAATTGGTTAATAATTGTTTGGTCATTATTTTTTATTACTCAATTGATAATTCACATTATTTAATGTTTATGGTAATTTAATAACTTGTGTGCACATTCTCTGTTAGATATCGAATGTATTTTTTCTCATTAGGGACCTTGTCACAGGTGGTCACTCTTGTAATATCCCCCCCTACTGTCACAGTTTTTCAATTTTAAATTTAGAAGTAATTAAATCAAAACAGCAATTTTTACATTTTTTTATTTAAATTGCAAATAATTAGTGCAAATGCATTAATAAATATATATCTGGTAATAGTAATGTAACAAGCCATATAAATGTAGATAGTCAATAATATTTTTAAGTTTTAGGGCCAGGTTAAGGCCTGAGACTTTAAAAATAATTTAGGATATTAAGCTAAACTAAAAATCTATAATTAGTGATATGGATGACCAGTGGTATTGCCACTGGTGCACACATCACATCACAAGTTTTTTTGAACAATATTCTTGTTAGAATATTTTTTCAATTTGCCTATTAGGAACTTTGTTTTAATTTCCAATTAGATTTTTTTTTTATTATTATTACATTTATGAAATAATCATGTTGGTTTTCTAATGGTATTATGTATGTAGTGTTGTGTAGTGTAAAATTTAGTTGATTACTAGTGTAACCTATGTTTGCTGATGTGCAAAAGTGCACAAAATTATATTATTATTATAATGACAGGTAGGCAGTTAAAATAACTGATAAAAGCCTGTACCCTGAAAGATTTCTTTCAGCTGTCCTTCTTGGATTCAATTCAATTACATATTTGTTGAGTGGATGTTTGAATTGGTTCCCATTTTCACATGTTTATATTTAATGTAAATAAATAAATATTAAATAACATTAATATTATGAGTGGCATGCAATAGGAGAGGCATATCCAGCAGTGGACTGGGATAGGCTGATTAGGAAAGAAATTTTATTTATTAAAAACATTTGCTGATTTAGTCCATTGCTTAAATTTTGTTGACTTTACCCACAAGTACATTGACCAGGAAAATTAAGTAGACACAATTCATTAGTGCAGCAATACAACACTCACAGTTATAAAACACACTTTTATAGATATAAAACATTTCTGTTTATTAAAACGACTGACCCTGAGCCCTTTAAAAGTTGTTTTAGTCACTACCCATGAAAATATTAGGTTAGCAAGAGCATTGTTAGTACACTCTTCAAAGCACTAAAGTCATTTATTACTTAATTAATATATATTGTATATTAAGCCAGTAGAGAGAGAGAGAAAAAAATGATGTGGGACTTGCTTATTATACTGCAAGCAAGTACCACATAATTTTTAACATACCTTTATTAGTATGATTGGTCATGCTACTACTATGTAAATAAGTTATCTTATTAAAATGAAATATTTAATTCGTATCTAGTGCCAATGACAATACTATAACTAGGTCTCTTGGAGCTGATCTGATGGTGGAAGCTGTGTTAACCCACAATCAAAAGAGAATCACAAGCCGCCAGTTACTATTTTTACTGTTCTGTTCAAAATATAAGGTTCATGCAACAATAGATTCATGGAAATATTAAAAGACCTTTTAATATTGTCATTGACATGGTAATCTTCAGTTTGAGGTCATTGTATTTGTTATTACCTCTAGTGATGACCTCACCTTGCTAACACCCTAGTATTTATCTCAATACTGTTGTAGCAGTAATTTAGTTTATATACTATCTGTATTCTATCCAATGTTGCAATAAAGTAATAAATATTATTGACGGGACTATTGATCTAGTAGTAAGTGACCCTGACTGCTAAGCCTGAGGTCATTGGTTCGATTCCCACCCAAGATAAATAATTGTGGGAAGAACATGATCATTTGTTCTGTGTATGGATGTAATTTATCTATAATATGTATGTATTTAGAAATATTTAAATATCAAATAGTTTATCAGCAGTCTGCCTATTTTCAAATCAGATTGCCGTGTGTGAGATCTGTGAAGTTATTATTAATATTTAAAATGTTATTGGTTTTATTCACATATACATTTCGATGATGATTGACTAGTTTTGGGCACTAATTAACATGAATACCACTCCCAAAAGGTTCTATTATAATATATTTAACCATTGCTTGGTTAGGAGATGTGCCTGTCTTATTGGACATGTTAATAAAATTACGACAGGCAGATCATGATTGTGCTGTTGATTATGACGATGATGGTGGTAGTGGTGATGATGATAATGATGATGATATTTAACCATCCATACTAATATTAATATATTTATTTATGACTTCATGCACAAATATATACATCGGTGGACTTAATGCCCAAGGCATTCTCTGCCAGTCGGTCGATTGGGCGATGCATGGAAAGAATGAGGTATTTATGGGGATATATGATAGAATTCTTATTCAGTTCTATCTGTCCTTCGAATAGACGTAACATGAATGCCATTCCCAAAAGGTTCTATTATAATATTTAACCATTGCTTGGTCAGGAGATGTACCTGTCTTATTGGACATGTTAATAAAATACGTAAAATTATATCTGTGTCTGTGTGTGTCTATCTGTCTGTCTGTCTTAACAGACGCGACTTCCTCTTCACGCTTAATTCGCTAAACCGATTTACATGAAATTTTCTATAGAGATAGTTCGAGTACCGGGAAAGGACATAGGATAGTTTTAATCCCAGAAATCATCTTTTAAGAGTGTGGAAAGGGGGGTGGAAGTTTTTATGGGTCATTAATAACCGCCGAACCGATTTAGTTGAATATTATTAAGGAGATAGTTTGATTCTTGAGGTAGGACATAAGCTACTGTTTCCCGCTAAAACATACACGCGGAGGACCCGGCGGCAAAAGCTAGGAGCTCATATAAAACAAATGTGTTAGCTTTTGTAGCAGCTTTTAATGTTAAACAGCAAATATAGGACCTTTACTCATGTAACACCTTTACAAGGCTTAGTATTGTTGATAGAAATATCATATTTAGCTTTATTTCTGTTATTACATATTTTCCTTTACAGTTTGTTTAATTATATAATATGTATAATTCTGACCATACCTTAATAAATAAATATTGTTTTACCTTTGAAGGACTTACAAGGTATTAATCATAATTACTAATATAGAGCATTTCACCCGGTTCTACGTCATTACCACCTATTCAAGTACCACGTGGCTCGACAGATGTTTAAACATTTGTTAACTTATAACTGAGGCAGGTGTTATCCTCACCTTAATATAGCAAAGGAATGACTCACAATTGCTGACTAGGGTGACTTATATTCGCAAAATATGACGTATCAGCTATCTCTTTCAGTTTACAACAGTTACTTATTTGCTGTTTTTGTATTTTTATTCGTCATTAATTATTCTATTTTATTTAAGTTGTTAAAATTATTTAAGCCTCATCTTAGAATGGAGTTCATATTTTAATGGTTGATTGCGAAAAAAATTAACTCCAAATATTGGAATTAGTTCGAGGCGCTCTAGCCTCTCGAAACCTTGTCCCTTTTTTTTTTCTAGGGGCTGCGGTAAGGTTTGGGTTACGCATTCAGGTAGATACGAGCTGGGTTTAATTTCAGATATTAAAAAAAACGGCGTTGGGTTATGTACGGCACGGTGAAATGTATACTCAAACGTATATTGCAAATTTGAGAATTCACTTTAAATGATTAGGCCTTAAGAAGTTATTTTAAAGCAGAGTTTTGCTTGATTGGCTTAGCTTTGAGTTCTCGACTCCTTCTTTCTTCTGGTAGGTTAAAGCTACGAACAGGATAGCTTTGCAACGCGACTACAGATATAAAGGTTATTAAAAAAATGTTTGAACTACCGCAAGTTCTTTTTTACTTTTAAGTGGACACTTGAATGTATAAGAAATAAAACCTTAACCTAGTTGTTGAAGGTCGATAATGTCTGAAATACTTATGAGATACCTTTTGTCGGTGATTTTTTTGTTGAAGAGATTTCAGACGAAGGTACCATTTAAAAATGTACGCTGTAAAGTAACTCCAAAACACTTGAAATTTCCTCATGTATTTGTCCACGTGATTCATCCATCAAATATCCATAGTTTTGTAGTTATGTTTGGCAATCCGCGCAATAGACATGTACATATTTTTATTTTGCTCAAATATGAGCTGTATTACATACTGCAAATTAACCTAAAATGCTGAAACAAAACTTGTTATTAGTTTGCTGTTGTTAATTTGCCTGTACATAGCTAACTCTCAAAGGAATTCAATGAAAATTTACATATAAGTTAATTCAAAAGTTAAGGCTCTTAACATTCGTTTCGGCGAAATTTTGCGCAGTTGTTTAAGTAATGAGCTCTAATCGTGGAAAAAATGTAGATATGTTCGAAAGGACATCATTAACTTACTCTGTCCGTCTGATTTGTATCTTTTTACGTTTAAACCTGTGCACCGAGAGTAGTTACTGAACCGTGTTGTAGAGAAACTTAATTAATTATCTATATTTATATTGCAAGAAAACCTCTTTACTTAGTTGTGATAAAAAAGTATTTCTAATTAGAAGTAGAAGAATAAGAACCAGAATAACATTAATACTTCAATCTTCCCTGACTCATCGATTGGATCATTTCTTCACATCACAGTCCAACTCTTGTGCGAGATAATTATAGCGTAGTTTAGTGAGAAATGAAGTGTTAAGTTCAAATTAAATAATAAAAATAAATCTTTTTATATTACCATATGACATGTGAGCTGATATAGGGCTGCTACTTCGTTCCTATTGCTGTTTTTTGGTTATGATCACGTGATCGCATGCTTGTTTGCCAGTTATGGTGTATAGAATAAAAAAACTATGCTCAGATTTTAGTAGTAGATCCTCGAGACTGTAGTTGCTAATAGACATAGATGGCGATAATGATATTAATATAAAACCTAATTATTTATGTGTGGAACTCGTTAATAATTTATTTAATATTATGAATGTATGAATAACACGAGCGTCACTCGGAATTCTATTAAATTAAAATTTCACTTGAATATAAATACTTAATGCCATCTACAATATTCAAACAGAATGAAAATGTGTTTACAATTTTTCCACAAAATACGGCGCAATTGGCAGTTAGATATTTAACAGACTAAACATGGTTAGCCTTATATTACTTAAAGTAAGTGTACGGCGCAATGCGCAGTTAGATATATAACAGACTTAAAATGGTTATAGACGCCTTATATTACTTAAAGTAAGTTTAAGGTTCGCCTATTCTTGCCCTACGTAACGAAATCGTCACGCATGGCTCAACATGCACACTCATCGAGGGACTAGTTTGTCCGGTTTTTTTCGCTTCTTACAAGAAAGCGTTCACAAGACTGACACTGCTATCTTGGCTAGTTAATATTCCTACTTCGAATAAAAGAGCTGATTCCTGCGTCACACTTTATTTCTTACTACCCACATAAATAGTAAACTTTCTTTAATATTTAGTACCAACTATATATAACAGTTTACCTACAGACATAGAAAGTGCTTGTACTTCAAAACGGTCGTTTAAATACAAAGTAACAAAGTTTCTTCTAAATGTGATCAGTGGAAACGTGACGGGTACCTAAAGTATAGTTATTATAACTACACTTTGGGTTCCTGTCATGTTTGTTATGTCATGTTACTTAAGTATCTTTGTTAACAATAACTAATCACTAGGTAATTTTAATTAATTTGATTAAATGATCGTTACTGTAATTTTGCATGTTATTTATTTTATTATTTTAAATTTAATTTTTATTTTTTTATTTTTGTAAAAAGGATATGATAATGTAATTGTTAAATTATAATAAAGAGTGTAATAACAATAGTTAATGTAATATGATAAAGTGGGAGCTACGTCTGCCAACAAACTGCTGTGCAGTTTGGCAGAAGTAATTGAATATTGTAATACGTTTTTAAATTTAAATAAACAATATTATTATTATTATTAATATTCTAGGGTCGGAGATACTCTAAGCTCATACTCTTGATGCTTCTGTTTGAAATCTAAAAATTTTGGAAAAAATACACAACTAGGCTACGTTGCCTATGCCCAAACTAACCAGAGCTTGTACTTTGGGATCTAAAATATGAAAAATCAAATCTATATAGGTACTATTTTTTTCACAATAGATATAACAATGCATACAAATATTTAATGCTCCACCCCCGGTTTTTACTTAAATAACTATATAGGTTTATCATCACTATTCTTTGTTGTAGAAATGAGAATGAGTATTTTTTATAAGTTTCATAATAAGAAAAAACACTTAAAAGTTGTCTTTAGGTCTCTTCCACCGTCAGCATCCGCTCGGAAAATTTATTTCTTTCTTGATATTTCAGTATAGCCTTAGAGATAGAATATACAATAAGATATTTTACGACTTTATTTTTAGTCCTTTACTGAAATCATTCGAAGACTTCTTGTGTTAAAAATCCTCAATGCACAATACATAAGTCAGCAATACCTTCAAACTGAGGGCATTACAACAGGTTATTAAGTCCAAGGGCCAATTGAGTGTGTATTATAATGAAGGTAATTATGCCGTTGACTCATGCGCTTTACGTTACGATGAACAGCTGACCTGAGAAATTACTGTAGGTATCTATAATACGTTGCAAGCGCGTAGCGTGAGTGTGCAAACGAGTCTGCATCTACCATGTCTGGGAAATTTGTTGGCAACT